CCACAACTGTTTTCTTTTTCCAAGCGCTCTTCTCGCCTTTTTTTTTTTTTTTTTTTTTTTTTTTTTTTTTTTTGGCCACATAATAGAAGTTTGCATGCAATCTGTGTCCCCTTTTTTGTTTTCACTCAATGTGATATCTCTCAAGCCTTTTCTAGTATTGACCTAAATCTAGTGTTGGTCTCTCTCAATCTCTCTCTCTGAGCTGCATATATTCCAACGGCTTTGACAGAGGCATAATTAATGATTCCTTAACCCTTGGAGATTCTTGCTCATCCCCTTGAATCTTTGAGGTTGGCTGTTGGCAAAACTGTAAATGAAAGGAAGTTTGTTTTCCAGGCCCATCTGCCTCCCTGATCTTCCTTCCCTGCTAGCCCAATTTTAGCCCAAGACTTCTCTTGCCATATCCTGGTGCCAACCTGCTCTCTGAGCCTGTGCCCTTATTCAAGGACTATTAAAAATAATATCGTTCTATTTTTTCCTTCAAAGAAGAGCAATACATGCTTGTGTTGTCCAATTTGAGAAATTCATAAAAGCAAAAGAAAGTTAAAACCTGCTACCACTTTGCTGTTCAAGATCAGATGCCTCTGTTCCTCATTGCTCTCCAAAGTATTGTTGGCACTTTTGACCCCACTTGTCTGTGTCAGGTCCCTTTTCCCCCAGACCCTGCTCTGCCTTCACTAACCTGTACTGATGACATGATGAAAAAGTTTATTCATGAATGAATAAACCCTAGAAAGTATGCTACCTTGAGGCCCTGGGCATCTATTTAGGTAAAAATATTCATAAACAGGTATACAATGCATCAAGGGGGCACCTGAGTCTGGCTAGTTTAACCCACTGGAGACTTCACTGGCTCATTAAACTGGAGCATATACAGGTAGGATGGGCTGCAGGGCTGGTTTGATCTAGTAGCTCAAAAATGTCATAAAGGCAATGGTTTCTTTCTAGCCTCTGTCTTTGCTTCCCTCAGCATGATTCTCTTCTAAGGTAAATTCTTCTTGTTGCCTAAAATGGCTGCCTTATCAGCGGCTACTAAGGCTACTTATTGCCTGACTCCTGTCTAGCAGGAGATGAGAGCATCTCTCTCCCACCATCCAATAAATACCTAAGGTTTTCTCTGACTGGATCAGTCTGGTTCTGATGGCCGCCCATGAATCAATCTTAGGGGCAAGGAGGATGGGATCTCTCTGGGTGGTTTGGACCAGCAGGTCTCAAACTCTGGTCTTAGGACCCTTTACACTTCTAAAAATTACTGAGGATCCTAAAGAATCTTTTTAATGGAGGTTTAATCTATTGATATTTGACAAATTAGAAATTAAATGTAATTTAATTTAAATTAATAAAATAAATCATAAAAATAAAATTACATGTTTTAACAAGTTAAAAAATAATTATGTTTTAAAAAGTACTAATAGCCCAAAAAAACCACAAAAAAACAACTATGTTTTCCAAAACAAAAAGATGGTGAGAAAAATGGCTTTTTCCCCCCTTTATTTTTAATTTGCAAGTCCCTTTAAGTCTGGTTTAATAGAAGACAGCTGGATTTTCATATCTGCTTCTGTATTCAATCTGTTGCAAATTGTTCTGGTTAAAGTACATGAAGAAAATCTGCTTCACATCAATATGTAATTAGAAAAGGGAGGAGTATTTTGATAGATCTTTTTTGAAGTTTATTTTATTTATTTTGAGAGCGAGAGAGAGAGCACGCATGGGGGAGGGGCAGAGAGAGAAGAAGAGTGAGAATCCCAAGCAGGTTCCATGCTGTCAGTGCAGAGCCCCACACAGAGCTCAGTCTCACCAACTGCGAGATCATGACCTGAGCCGAAACCAAGAGGTTTCACACTTAACTGAGGTTGGACACTTAACTGAGCCACCCAGGTGCCCCGATAGCTTTTAAAGGGTGCCTTTTTTGGTACTATACCAAAATTCTACAAGAGGTAATTCCTTAAAGGTTTGTTGCATTGTGAAATTGAAAACCTTATCTATAAACTTTTCATACTGTCAAATTAAAATCCATTGTCTGCCTTGCATTTAGAATTCATCTTTTACCCATGTGTGATTTTGTAACATCATGCATTAGCGATTTGGAAAACACTGATTCACTGAGTAAATGCAGGTCTTATAAATGTTGGCACATTATACATGAGCCAATATCCCCAAGTCACATTTGTTAACATCACCATTCGTCACATCAGAAAAGTCCTTAAATATTGAGAAGCTGTCTCAGGGTGATAATAAGTTTTCCAAAATTCTAAATTTCTTTTGAAAGCTGGAATTTTTTCATCATTGGCCCAACAAATAGTCCATTGTTTTCCTTGAAGAGACAGGCTCACTTAACTGATTGTCAAGGAAATGTCTACCAAATAATCAAGTTGAAATAACCATAATTTGTCAGTTGCTTTCTCAAGTGAAAATGGTGTTGCGTGAAAAAAACAAAAACAAAAAAAACCCCAAAAAACCCAAACCAGCCAGTTCAGCTTGCGGCTGCACACATGCTCTCCCTTAGACAACCACCAGGCTCTGGTTTGCAGTGGAAGGGTTTTATGTGCCTTTCCCATTTTGTTATATAAAATATTAAAAAGATATGTGCTCAAGGGTTGAGATTTTAATAAATTTAGTAATATGCATTGCTCCATCAAGACCATTCTTAAATGACACTGCATTTTTTTAATTAAAAGTTTTTGTGTTTGTGTTTTTATTTTTGCTTTTTTACCATTAGTGCGGTAATGAAGGCTATTAGTACAGTTCGGTGCCACTACCCTGATTTGTGAAGGCACCAGTAGTTTTGCACCATCAATGCGAAAGGCAAACTATGTATTAGATAATTATGAAATAACTTTGACTTCAGAGATTCCCTGAAAGGTCCTCAGGGACCCCTAGGGGTCCATGGACCATAGTTTGAGAACTGCTGACCTAGACCAGTCAGAGCCCGCTCACAGAGCTAAGAGTGGGGCAATCTTACCTAAACCACATGTTGCATCACAGAAGGGAAGGGTGGAATGAATGTTGGGGTAACACAATGCCTAAGTAATGAACATAAGGAACTAAAGAATTATAAAATCGTGGTAGCTGTCCCAGATTTACCAACAGTTTGGCCACTGTGCTAGTCAGGGTCCTGAGCTTTTCTGAGACCAGCCACTGACTTGAAGAGATTCCAGGTAAGGCTTTGAGGTCGAGGGGCTGATCCTAATTTATGGTTTGAGGATCTCTGTCTCTATCCAGAACAGTAGCAGAGGCTCTGCAGCTAGTAAAAAGGGTGTTTTAGGTCAGGGCTTGTCTTGTCCCACAAGTCAGCTTCTCTTCCCACCAAATGTGAATGGGGTGAATGAGGCAGCGGGTGCAGGGTAAGCTTACCAGTGGTCTGGTTAGGCTGGAACAGGAGGCAGTTTTGAGCTCCTTTTCTTTGTCACACCCACCTTGCACCCAGTCCTCCAAGCCGGAAGGCTGATCCTTATGTCCAACCTTAATGCTCTCACAGCATTTTTCAGACAAGAAGTATCTGGGAGAAAGGGAAAGAGCAGCTAAGGCAAAGAGAGGTAAAGTGTCTGACCAAGCAGGCTGGCCTTGGGCAGGTCTCCAAGAGAGAAGTGGTGAGGTGCTCAGCATTCTCCCTGCAGCTGTTCCTGACCCCAGCAGCTGCTCTGCCTGGCCAGCCTTGGCCACTCCACTGGATTTAGATCTCCCAGTGACAGCTTTTCCTCTAATATTTTCAAAATGCTCCAGTATTCTCACCTTAGAATAACTTGGAAACATTTTTATGGCAAAATCCCTTTGGAAAGTATGACAACAGAGTCCCCCCCCTCCCCTCTTCCTTTCCAAGATTTCCCTCCTGACCTTTGTTACCCAGATATAACATTTTTTTCCAGCACCCCCTGCCCCACTGGGGAAAGAACACAGACACTGCCAAACTCTGGTGCTTTGCAACCCCTGTACAAACTGTTGCAAAAAAGATCGACAAAATTCTAAGTTTTCACAAATATATTTGGCTTAGTTTCTAGAATCTTCCGTTTTAAACCAGAACCGGTAACACAGGCACATGACTGCAATGCACTGTATCTGTAACCTAAAAGGAAATTCTGAAAGCAGACCAATGAGTTCACTGAGGAGTCAACAAGTCCCAAGGCACAGAAATGTTGCAGACGCATTATACACCCTTGGGTGTTCTAAAGAAATAACATATCAGCGCTTTAAACTCCTTTTAATTCTTGAATTTGGGGATTCACGAATATTTATGCTTTAAAAGTCTGTATGACATTTCTTTTCCAGATTCAAGGGAGACTCCTGACATATGGAAAGGGGGACTCCAAGCGCAGGTTCTGATCCCTGCTCTGCCACCAGATGTCCCAATGAATTAGGTACCTCACTTATGCTTTCCGGGCCTCAATTACCCATCTGATACCAATAGGTAATCAGCACTACTAACCTTTTCTCGGACACGTGTAACAAAAATAAAGATGTTCTGCAAGTCCTCCCCGCTCCCCCACGCCCAGGCTGCCCTCCTGCAGCTCTCAAGGTCTCACGACCCAAGGAACTCTGAACAGTGGTCGCCCTGGGGGGGTTGTGCAGGCAAGTAAAGCACGTGACTACGAAAAGCCCCTTCATTCACCGACTCCGCATCTACCAGTCTTCTGCGCAGTAAAAGCCTGTAACAAGTCCAAATGCACCTTTTGTTCCCTCCACCGCCTAACGGCACGTAGAGTTCAAGAGGGCTGTGGGGGCCCACTGTCCCCGGTACGTCCTGCCGAAGGCGCCCGGCTCCCCGAACCACAGTGGGTGGAGGCGTTGCGCGTCCCGGGGGCGGGGCCGCCGCGGGACCCCCCCCCTCGCGAGCTCTGATTGGTCTCTTTTGTCCTCGTGATGCTCGGCCCCGCCCGCGTCCCTCCTCCGCATCCGCGCGGGGGAGCGGACAGTCTGGTGCTGAATGGGCGCGAGCGCTGCGCCGGGGGCGGGCGGGGGCGCGGGGCCCTGGACTGGAGGCCGGCCGGCGCCCCCTCCCTAGCATGCGGACGAAGGCGGCCGGCGGCGCGGAGCGGCGTCCCCTGCAGCTGCGAACGGAGGCGGCGGCGGCGGCGGCGGCGGCACCTGCCGGCCGAGGTAAGTGGCGCAACCCCCTTCTCGGCGTAGCGGGGCCCGCGGGCTGGGGGCGGCGGTGGCCATCAGTCCCTAACCCTGCCTGGCTGGGGCTTGGCGGCTCCTCCCCGGCCCCGCGGGCGGCTCCCAGGGCACGGCGCCCCTGGACGCGCCTCGCGGGGGCGCGGGCTGGGAGTCGTGGCTCCGGGCCGCGTGGACTGGGCAGGGGGCGCCGCGGCCCACGCAAGTGTGGACGCGGTGGAAGCTCAGGGGTGAACCGCCAGGTTGTCCAGTCCAGCCGCAGTGGCCCTTTCTCCCCCGGTGTTCCGCAGCGGCTCGGGGTTTAATTCATTGCTGGAAGCTTCCGAGCCAGCAGAGCCGAGTTAACTCATTTCCCTGGGACGGGATTGGGGGACCCTCTGCAGTGTAACTAGCAGCTCCCAAAACTGCCCTTTGCATCCTTCCATAAGACGGGATGTGTGGCGTCTGTACGTAGAAATTCGCCAGTGACCTTCCTTGCCCCCCTCTGCAGCCAGCCCTACGAAAGAGACACGTTTTGGTGACCGTTTGCTTTCCTCTGAATTGTAAGCAGTGACTTGACATAGGCATGCATTCATTATACGCCTTTAGTGTGTAAATAACTCAAGGATTTTGGAGAGCATCTCTCAGAGGTGCCGGGCTAATAGGGAGAGGCGGGGGCTTGTCTCTACCCCACACCAGCTGGGTGACCTTGGCCAATACATATCCCCTTGAGGGGCTCTGTTTCCTGGTCGCTACTGGGAAGCTTGAGCTGCTGCTGATGGCTGTGGTCCCTTTCAGGCCTCTGGTTCAGTGGTTCTGACCGAATAATGTGTTTACCCGTTAAAGGGGTCCTACAAATCAGCTGACTTGAAAGATGAATTTTATGTTCTCATGTCTTAATTCGTGTAGGTGGCCTTTGCTTAATTATGGATCGCTCTTTTAAAAGAGAAAATAGTTTTATGTGCTGCGTTTCTCATCCTTGACTTGCCTGCTTGTGGTGCCAAGCACCCAGCTCAGTCCTGGGGTTACAAAGAGGAAGAAGACTCATCTCCTGCCCTCTGGTGTTTAGCCTCACTCTCCTCTTGTTTTATAACTGCTAATCCTCTTCCACAGAGGGATGCGTTTCCTGAAACTGAGGAATTCATGTCTGTTGAGTGAAGGGGCACAGACTCAAAAACATGATGGGTTGTGGTTTCACTTGTGTAATCCGGAAAGCTGGACAGTTTAGAAGAATGTCTTACATTTCTAGTCTTAGAGCCAGGATCACCTAAATTCCAACACATGCTTAGACAGGAGAGAGTGCTGTGAACTGCCAGAGCACTATAACCAAGATGTCATGGTTCTTCTTCCATGTCTGTCCATTATGTGAGTGCTGCTGTTTCTGTAAGATGAAATGGACCTTATTTGTGATTAGCAGCCATTTCTTCCTCTAAGCCAGAAAAGAAATGAGTGAGATGGGAAGGTATGAGGGAGTTAATGGAAGTGTGAGAGGGCCAACAGGCGTATATTCTAAAAAGTCATTTTATGGTTACCTATTTTGAAAATGCTTATAATTTTGGCCCACATGGCCAAGTTAGTCCCATGCTGTTTGGCAGCAGTGAGGGGAGTTTATCTAGCAAGTTGGCTCTTAGGAGGTGAACAGACTATAATAAAAAAGGTTTAGAGCTCTCTGTGGGAGTCCATCCAGGTGCTGGGGGCCGAAGGGGGATGTCTGGGAGCCAGGAGTTCCTGGGAGGATTAAAACACACCTTCCACACCCTTCTAGTTCATGAGGAACAAATTAATCTGAACTGCCTGTGGAGGGTTGAGATCATTCCCAGAGGGCATGCTCCATGATTTTAAGTCTAGCTGGGCAGCCTTGGCAGAAATAAAACAGCTGGGAAGATATACAGTGATGGTACAAACTTCCTAACTGCAGAGAAAGGAGAAGCAAGGGCTGAATCAGTGTGAAAGGCCTAAATTAGCAAAGGCATCCAAAATGGGGAGGGGTTGCAAATCATCAGCCTGGTGTGGGAAGAAGCCCTAAATATGGATAGCGACGTGTGGGGCTCCTCAGGGAGACAGAACCAGCTTAAGCACACCTGCAGAGGGGGAGCAAGGAAGAAGTGTAAGGGAGTGGGGGAACAATGAGGTTAGAGGGTACAAAGACACTTCCAGGCTTGTCTTATCTGGACAGCTTTTTCTTTCCTTCTTTCTTTTTAAAGTATAGTACACATACTAGAAAAGTAGACACGCTGTAAGTGTACTGTTCACAAGTTTTCCAAACTGAACACACCCACGCACTCAGATCAAGAAGCAGGAGCTCCCCATGTGCTCCCTTCCAGTCCCTACCTCCCTGGGGGCAACCCACCACACCTGACAGTTCCATGCGTGTATAAATGGATCCTGCAGTATCCGACATCTTTCCTAATGAGTTAGGTTTCTGAGATTCACTCGTAATGCTGCCTCTTGCTGTAGTGTGCTTCCTGTCAGTGCTGATTTGGCCTTTGGGTGATTAATATATCACATATTTGTGCACTGTTGATGGACATTTGGGCAGTTTCCAGCATTTGGCTATTGCACATAACGTTGCTGTGACTGTTCTCGTACCCATCTTTGGTATACATACGTATGCATTTCTGATGGTGGTATGGTAGGTGTGTGATTGCTGGGTAATGGGCGTGTGTGTACTCAGCTTTGGGAGCTGCAGGCAAAGCCATGTTATTCCAAGTTTTTAATAACTACGTTGTTATTAGTGTGGTCATCATATGGTTATTATATGGTAATTAGTAGTTAATTTTTATTAGTGTAGTGTTAGTTTTATAATAGTACCTCCTTACTACTAGCTGATGAGGGCAACACCAAGTTTTCACCAAGGAGACAGGCAGGAGTCTTACCAGGAGTCATGATCAGTTTCTATCTGGCTGTGCCCCATGCCCCATATTCTCTTGGCAAGTGCAGTCAGCTCCATGCCCCGGTCTCCCGAGTCACGCAGCAGCACAGGCCGAGCTGTGGGCAACCCAAGAGTTCTGTTGTCAGGGAGAAGTTTCTCTGGCCAAACTGCTTTAACTTATCTCAGCTCCCAGTTCCCTGCAAGCACTTCTGGGAACCTCTCCTCCCTTTTGCTTTCTAAACATTGTACTTTCTATATATTTTTTAGCTCCTTTTTTTTTTTTAATGTTTATTTGTTTTTGAGAGAGAGAGAGAGAAAGAGAATGAGCATGGGAGGGGCAGAGAGAGAGAGGGAGACAGAATCTGAAGCCAGCTTCAGGCTCTGAGCTGTCAGCACAGAGCCAGACACGGGGCTTGAACCCACCAACCGTGAGATCATGACCTGAGCTGAGGTCATATGCTTAACTGACTGAGCCACCCAGGTGCCTGGTACTTTCTATACTTGTTTCTACTTCTCTGATCTGCCTTCTCTGTGCTTCCGCATTTCTGTTAAGAATTCTCTCATGTCATTGAGGAAAAGCACAAGTCTAGGTTAGTCCTTTAAGGCCGTACAAGATATTTTTGTTCTCTTCCTCTGGCATGGAAAAAACATCCAGGATTAAGTTAAGTATCTAAAATCATAATAGATAAGTATCATATGGTATGATTTGATTAATTCAAAGAGGGAAAATTGATAAAAATAAATAAAAAATGTCTGCTTTAATGGAATAGTGGTTCTATCTTTTGGACATTAAGGCTATTTTTAATACCAAGTGTCATTTTCATGATTAAAGGCTTAAATATATTGAGTTCACAGCGGAAGTCGTTGTTCTATGATATGTATAGAGTTCCTTCTTCCCTGGCCACCTTTTCTCAGCTTCTGCCTTTTTTTTTTTTTTTTTTTTTTTTTTTATGTGTATTTATTTGTTTGTTTTTGAGAGTGAGAAAGAGAGCATAAGCTGGGGAGGGGAAGAGAATCCCAAGCAGGCTCCATTCATCGTGGCAACACAGGGCCTGCGACAGGGCTCAGTCTCACGAATCGTGAGATCATGACCTGAGCTGAAGAAATCAAGAGTTAGACATTAAACCGACTGAGCCACCCAGGCGCCCCTCAGCTTCTGCTTTCTTATCCTCTTCTATCTTGTTCTTCACCTCCTTTCTGCTTCTGACAAACATCTTGGTCTCATTTCCTATTTAGACTCTAGTGGCAAGAGAGGAAGAGAGTATGGTCCTTTAGTATATGTGCTGCCGAAGCGAGCACGAGAGTATGGTCCTTTAACAGGGCTCCCAATACTCTCCTCCTTTTGCTTGTTATTTTCTGCAGTCACATCCTTAGTTTTCCAGGACTTGGTGGTTGGTGTAGGCTTCTTGCTTATCCTTTCTCTAGTCCAGTGGAACTGTAACTCAAGCCACACATAATTTAAAATGTTCTAGTAGCTACATTTAAAAAGTTGAAAAGAAACAGTTGTATCGAAGTTGCAATTTCTGAGGAATATAAGAACTTCTAAACTGTTATGCACCTAATAACACAGCTTCAAACAATGTAAAGTAAAAAGTGACAGAAGAATAAAAAAAAAAAAGTTGACAAATCTGCCACCAAAGTGAGAGAGATTTTATTATACATCTTTCAGTAACTGATAGAACAAGCTGACTGAAAACCACTAAAGGGTTATTCCAGCAAACAATAAGCTTGATCCAACTGTTTATATAGAAAACATGGTCCCACAAATGAAGATTGTACTTTTACAAAAATTGAGTATACACCTGGTCATGAAATAATTTCTAACATGTTTAAAATAACCAGTATCATACAGAACAAGTTCGCTGGCCACAGTGCAACTAAATTATATCAGTTTTAAATGCTATTTTGGAAAAAAAGTGAGAATTTGAATTTAAAAATATTTAGGCTTGAGAGATAAGTGATAATAATAAACATATATGTCAAAAGTTGTAGGATGACTTATACACTTAAACTATTAGGTACAGTCTTAATTGCTCATATTAACAAGAAAAATAGCAAAAATTAATGATTTAATTAGCTAAATTAAGACATTAGGAACATAGCAATTAAAATGATGGGGCGCCTGGGTGGC